TTTTTTTTGTTTGCCTGTGCTCTGACCATCTTTCTCTTTTCTTGTTGATCTAGTCGACTTCTCCACACAAGATGAAAGATTCCAGCCCGTTGAACAGTAGAAATACGTGTGAGAAAATTCACTTTCAGGCCATTCACAGTGAGTCTTCAGATACCTGCAGTGACCAGTCACCAACATTGGCTGGGGGGCCACTTTTAGACCAGAACAAGTCTCAGATGGAAATGCAGTTTGTGAGTGAAGAGGACATGGAGGCCTTGGGAGCGACAGCCCCGCCTTTACCTATGATTGAAGAGCTCAAAGCCCCCTCTGCCGGTGTCATGCAGACGGCGAACAAGACGGATTCTCCTTCCAGGAGAAAAGGTGTGTGAAGGCTGTGCCTCCCGGCTCTCTCTGTGCACACTTGGCAGTCACCATACGGACTGCAGTTTCTTCTTTCCAAAGTTCAAAACAAATCAAGGTAGAAACTGATCAACGACATCCGTCATGTTCCATCTGTGTCCTTTGGCTGAGTAAATGATCAGAATTTAGTCATAGAAAATCAGACATAAGGAGGCCTTGGAGGTCGTGTAATGAACCTCCTCATTTTACAGATTGGGGATGCTGCGAGTGGGGGGAGTTCTGTCTTCGTAAGCACCCTCGTGGGACTCCATAAATGGGACTTTTATTTTTTATTATTTTGTTTGGTTTTTGTTTTTGGCAGCTGGCCGGTAGAGAGATCCGAACCCTTGACCTTGGTGTTATCAGCACTGTGCCTGCCCCAACCCACTGAGCTATCTGGCCAGCCCCGTAAACGGGGCTTTTAGATAGTTGATTATTAAGCTAATCTTGGCTGCCTCTTCCCTCGCCCTGAGATGCTCTCTAACCCATTGCCCTGGCTTAATTTCTGCATACCATTTATCACTATTTCAAATTATCACTAGTTTGTTTATTTGCTTTGCCCGATTATGCTTTATGAGACCAAGAATCTTTCCTCTCTGGTTTCCCTTTTTATCCTCGGTGATTACCTAGTGGTTGGCACATAGTAGGTGCTCCGTGAATGTTAGTTTAATGCACACCTGGCTGCATGTCAGTAGTGATGATGTCAAGCCTAATCTTTGTTAGCCAGGCACCTTTGTGCACTTTTCTAGATTTGTATGAACCAATCACATAATTCTCTGCCAGAAGTAAAGAGGAAGTCTGAGAACAAGTGTGCAGTGACTGACAATGTGCAATTTATCATTTCCCAGTAATGACTATAATAATGCTAAAGGAATAGCTTCAGCCTGTCGAGTGCTGAGTATACTTCAGGCACTTTGCAGATGGGGAAGCAAGGCTCTGCAGTGACGTAACTTGGTCAGGGCCACACAGGGAGAGTGACGGGCCAGTGTGCAGACCTGGGCTGTCTGGCTCTCCAGTGCTGCACGGCCCCTGCCAGCTGCTGCGGTTCTCGGGCCCGTTGGGGCACTTGGAGTGAATCTGCACCTGCTTCAGTGCTGTTCCTGGAGCTCCAAGTCTGAGGTGGTTTCTGGAAGAGTAGTTTTCTGACGTGATCCATTTACTCTTTTAGATAAAAGAAGTCGACATCTTGGTGCTGATGGCGTGTACTTGGATGACCTCACAGATATGGATCCTGAGGTGGCCGCCCTGTATTTTCCCAAAAAGTAAAATTTCTTCCTGTTCCTCACATTGTTTTCTGTAATCTGAACGTCGGTCTGCATGCCTCCAGTTTTCCCTTACGTTAGATTAGAAAGTGGGTGAGAAGAGGCAGTGGGAGGCTCACATTTTACTGTGAAAAGCCAGCAGTAAAGGCCGTCGGCTGTCCTGGTGGACGTGACCGTGTGTCTCTCTGTGTGCGCGGGCACGCAGCCGGCTGGTGACGAAGCTGACAGGATGTCACGGTGGCCCACAGCCCAAATAAGTTGGCAGCTGCATGGCCCATTCCTTCCCAGCGGATAGTCCCCCGTGGCCCCTGGGTACTGTCCTCTTGCCCCTGTGACTGGGGAGGATCATAGCAGACACAGTGGCCTCTCAGGATAGCAGCTTTCGCATGGGTGTATTCCACGTGGGGACACGCGGTGGGCTGGGGACATTTGTTCTCTCTCCTGAGGAATCACTCAGCTTCTCTGCTTTGTTGTGGCGCTTTAATGAGAACTCTGTGTCGTTTGCTGCTGTGAGGGCAGCAGCCTGCCACAGTCACTTGGTGTCGAGAGAAGGGACATGCTCAGAGCATCTTTCGCTTTTCCTCCTTGCAGCGGAGACCCTTTGGGGCTCGCCAAACACGCCAGCGACAGCGGAGCCCGGTCAGCCAACCAGTCCCCGCAGTCCATGGGCAGTTCGGGCGTTGACAGTGGCGTGGAGAGCACCTCGGACGGCTTGAGAGACCTGCCGTCCATTGGTATCTCCCTGTGCGGGGGCCTTGGGGACAACAGGGAGATAACGCGAGGTACGCGGCGCGCGCCGACAGCGCCCTCGTGTGGCCGCCGGTCAGAAGGCGCCGAGCTCGGTGCTGCTCCTTAGAAGCAGCTTGTCCCTGGGGCCCGGTGAATGGTAGAACAGGTGACTCAAGGTTGCTCGAGCACAGGTGTCTCTGGCCTGCAGTTAGCGGACCTCAGAGTTCTGTTGGGCAACAACAAGGCCGTCGGGCCATTCCGTGCGCCGGCCAGGGCTGCAGAGGTGTCCTCCAGGAGCCTGCAGTCCGGTGGGAATGTCACTGTTATCAAAATAGAGTGTGTTGGCAGGGTGTGAGAAGTGCTCTGGGTCTTGGAGGAGGGA